AGCAACAGCCTGGTTGATTACGCTAACACCAGATGATTATAATAAAAAAATATAATAAAAAGGAAGCGCTAAAGCACAAGAGTTATAGAGCGCAGCAGGGTAGGGAAGGATGCAGGGGTAACGGGTAATAAGGAGAGGGATGATTATTAGGTTATTTAGTGCAGCGGGGCAGAGGATAGTGCAGGGGTAGAGGGTAGCTAGAGATGAAGGTAGAAAGGACTGAGGAGAATGCTAGAGACATCATCAGAGTTTGTGTAGTAAATCAGTTGCTGTCAAAAAGTCAATGAGAGAGTCTGGATTAAAGGAGGCTCTGTCAGCAAGAAGGGAAGGTAAAGAAAGGGCAGCAGAGCGAAGACAACGTTGGAGGTAAATTCTGCATGCTCGTTGATAGTGGGCAGTCCAACAGAATGTGCCTAACAGATACTGGAACTTGGCAATTCACACAGGAACAGGACGCCTCTCCATGAGATCCCGTAAGTAAGACAAATGTGGCCGATGTGAAGACAGGAGAGAGTAGTCTCCCAACCTCGACACTGATGACAAGAAGATGGCCAGAAACCTACACTCGGTTTAACAGAATGAAGTTTGTTATGGAGCAGATTAGACCAACGTTGTTGCCAATGGGTGTGAAGATGGGTAGCAATTACAGCAAAATAGTCCATGAATGGAACACCTCTATATGAAACTGGGAAGTCATGTACTGTTAACCATGCAGCAGTTTTTGCCTGTTCATTGCCCTGTACGTCAACATGACCAGAGACCCAACAAAAAACAATATCTATGTATTTGCTAGAGATATGGCATAACCAAAGTTGAATACGAAGAGCTAGGGGATGAGGTGTATCAAATTTCCATAAAGCTTGTAAAGCACTAAGGGAGTCTGAAACAACAACAAATGGTGACAAAGGCATAGATGCAATATGGATAAGTGCTACAAGAATGGCATACAATTCAGCCATAAAAATGCTAGCCGAGGGTAATAAATGCCCTCCCACGACACTGTCCAGAAACACTGCTGCGAATCCGACGCCATCAAAAGACTTAGAACCATCGGTGTACACTGTGATGGCATGAGAATGAGAGCGGAAGTGGTTAAGAAAAAGAGAGTGGAAAGCCAACGTAGGTAGTTGAACAGTCAGAACTTCCCAAGGGGGCAGGGAAAAGTGAGATGCTACATGAACATAGAGAGGTGGTAACTGAAGAGAAGACAAGAGTGAATGGAGGTGGAGAGAAGAGGGACAGAGTAAACAGGGGCGACGAACAAATAAAGAACGTCTACTAATATCAGTGACTATCCTATATACAGGAGGATTGTAGAGGTCATGAGATTGAACATAGTAGTGAAGGCAATGAGCATCACGACAATCAGACAAGGATGGAAAATTCACTTCTGCAAAGAGGCTCTCAACAGGGGATGAACGAAAGGCACCAAGGCACAGGCAGAAACCTTGGTGATGAATAGGATCTAACTTAGATGACAGAGTTGCAGGAGAGGCCACAGAATAGATTTGGTCACCATAATCTAGCTTGGACAAGATTAGGATGGAATGTAAATGGAGGAGAGTGCAACGATCTGCCCCCCATGAACAATGTGCGAGAACGTTAAGAAGATTTAGCCGACCATGGCAAGTTGTCTTCAACAAAGAAATGTGGGGTCTCCACATCAGCCAGCAATCAAAGAGCAGGCCCAGAAACCTGACCATATCACATGCCAGAGTACGTGAACCATGTAAGTACAAGGGAGTATCCGGTATAAGTGGGTGTCTAGTGGGGGTAATGAATTGGGTTTTCATACTGGAAAATTTAAAGCCATGAGAAGTGGTCCAATGGGAGACTCGGTCTATCACAACCTGAAGGGAGGCTGCTGCTACTTGACAGTCAGTGACCGAGTAAGCTATAGCAAAGTTGTCAACATAAAGAGATGACCAAATATGAGAAGGAAGAATGGAAGGTAGGTCATTTATAGCTAAGAGAAAAAGAGTAGTACTGAGGACACAACCTTGTGGGACTCCTTCAGCTTGTACAAAGTCCGAGGAAAGCGATTACCAATAAGGCTTAAGGAGTAGGCTTGGGCTAGAATGTTATACCTCCAAGTGGTGTCATATGCCTTCTCTAGATTGAAAAAGACCGCTAGGCATTTCGAATATATGTATCAAAGTGGAGCATGGGGTCTAAAGGAGAGCAGCCTTTGTGAAAGCCATAGTGGCTAGGGGTAAGGCTGTGTGTCTCTAAGAACCACATCAGACATCTATTCACCAATCATTCCATCACCTTGCAGACCACACTGGTCAGGTCAATGGGACAATAATGAGAGGTGTCAACCCCTGAGGCACCTGGTTTGTGAAATCGTAACACAATAGCTGATTTCCAGTGTTGTGGGAGAACCCCTCGCTCCCAAATTAGCTTGAAAAGACATAAAAGAACGGGAAGGGGCGTAGAATGGAGATAGTGAAGAATACTGATGTGGATATCATCAGGTCCCGGTGCTGACGGCCGGCACATGAAAAGCGTGGACTCTAATTCTAGAAGAGTAAAAGGTACATTGTATGGCTCCAGTCCATCGGAGGAGAAATCTGAGGGCAATTGCTCTTTGGTAGGTTTAGAAGCAAGAAATGAGGGACAGAGGTGAAGCACTCAGGAGATACAGACAAGATGGTTTCCGATTTCTGTGTCAACTTCTAAAAGTTCTATGACATCAACTCCAACAACCCACAAAATGGAAGCTGGGTTCGGAGTGTACTTACCACACAATTTCTGCACCTTTTTCCAAATCGCACACAGGGGAAGACGAAGTAATGGTAAACAAGTAGTTTCGCTAACAAGAATATTTAGTGCCGCGTATGATGTGGTGAGCAACTGCCCTTGCCTGCTTAAAATTCAACAGATGCTCCACGGTATGGTTATATCGATAATTTCCCCACGCAGCACTGCGCAGGCGCATGTAGGAGACCACTAAGGTATGGTACGCATGTCTGAGAATGCCTACCTGAGGTTTGGGGGATAGAATGAATCACCACAGTTAGGACTAAGGTCGAAAATTGGTACACCAGTTCATCAATAAAGGATGAAAGGGGGTCCTCGCCTCAAGTGGTTAGATGGGAGTATGTCCCAATCTGCTCGAGAAAATTGCCAACGAGGGTTACAAAACGGTCAGGTATATGTAGTAGAAGTAAGGATAAGAAAGTGATCACTGTCATGTAAATCTGGAAGAAAAGACCACATGAAATCAAGTGCAATGGGCGAGGAATAGATAGAAAGATCAATGCAGAAGACTAATTGCAAGAGTCAAAATGGGTAGGAGCACCTGTATTTAAAACATGAAGAGGATGAGAAGCGAGAAGTCTCTCCAACTGATCACCATGAGAGTCGCAGTGGGACTCTTCCCACAGATGATGGTGAGCGTTAAAATCACCCAACAAGATGGGCAGCGGTAGAGAAGAAATTAAAAATGCAATATCAGAGATACAAAATGCATGGGAGGGAGAAAGATAAAGAGAGCAAACTGTAAACCATCTGCGTTAATAAATCCAAGCTGCAGTATAATGCAGTGGGGAATGAATAAAAACTTGTTGATAGGTATATCAACGCACACAGGAAGCCCACTTTCATTAAATGACTCATCAGGTAAAGGATCTGAAGAATGTAATACCACATACCCCAAAATGAGGCGAATGACAGCAGAATGAATTTTGGGCTCTTGCAACCCAACACATACTGGAGACAACTGGGAGAGCATCATTTGGAGTTCTCGATTGCCCCTAAGGCCATGAATATTCCATTGTAAAAAAGACATTATGTTCAGAAATAAAACTGGCACCAATAAGAAACGATAAAACCTATGGGCTTTTAGGATCTATAAAGTCAACATGTGGGGTAATGGTAAGCATGTAATCAAGGAAGAATGTGAATGTTGCAGAGGAATAGAATGTTACAAGGGTCTTGAAATAGAAGGGATGGAAGGAGTCGCATTGGTGTCCATTCGGGGTGTCATCTCCGCAATATAGCTGGAGATAGTGTCTAACGTCTCTGTTGTTAGGGAAGCCGACCATGCCTTGATGTCAGAGACAGAAGAGGCATTGCAAAGAGGCATTGCAAAGAGTAACTATGGAGGCAACTAAAGAGGTCTGAGGGGGGCAGGGAGTATGAACCTGGAGAGATGTGTTGGCTGGGGTAGAAGAGGCCTACAGTGTAACAGGAGAGGAAGGAGGTTGAAGGGTAACTATGGAGGAAGATAGGGGGAACAGGGGAAGAGGGGACTACATGAGGGGGTTGAACTTCTACCTTCATGTGAGAGATGGAAAGGGGGTGAGAACGAGGCACCAAGGTAGGAGATATATTCTGTGCAGGTGATGGATACGAAGAAAGTGTAGGTCTGCGAGGTCTCATAGACTGAGAAGCAAGCGAGTGTGATGAAGAAGTAGAAGTAGGAAGTGGCGTGGAGGTAGAAGTGTCAGAGAATAAAACTACAAAATAATTAGAAACTAGGGTGACCCCAGAAGACACAGACACAGAGGGATTGGGAGGCAGGAGGACCGTCGAGGTTGGAGGTCTTCGCGCTACCCAAGCATAAGGGACACGAGGGAGTTTACCTTGAAGGCGGAGCTGAGAGACAGCCATAGTGTGAGGCCCTCATGCATGAAAAGGAAGGATGAGGTTCCCTGCAATTGAGACAAGAGGGGGGAAGACTACAGACTGCAGATCTGTGGCATTCTGCGGCAGATCTGCAGTGTTTAGCGGGGTGTCCAAAACGCCAGCAATTACGACACTGTTGGGGAGTGGGAACTACATGACGGAGCTCTAGGTGATGTCCCACAATATAAATGTTACTAGGAAAATGCCTTCTCCCACGAGCAGGCAGGATGTATCTACCCTGAGAATAGGGAGGTTCTGAAGGGCTAATTGTTCTAAAATATTCTTGCCACAAGACAAAAAATCAATTTGTACAATGGTATGCAGTAAGACCACAGTACCACTGCAAGAATTAAGAGTAGCATGCTTACGAACAGTGACTGGTATGTTATCTATAGAAGTGATGCAGGAGAGTGCATGAGCTTGTTCTGAATTCTGCACTGTTATGCACACCACTTTAAAGAACATGGAAGGATATATTTTGGCCAACGTGCCATAAATGAGTTTTACCAATTCCATGATCATAAAGATAATCAGTTTGAGATGTCATTTGTAAATTCGGGAATTCGGACACATTGTGAAAGGCATGCTAGAAGCAACGGCATGAACAGAAATGGGTGACGCTGCAGCACCTGAAGCAAGTGACGCAGCATCAATGGCAGAAGGTACAGGGGTATGAGAAAAGTCGAGAAAATGGTCCAATAACAAAGCAGGGTTAGAACAGGGTGTGGGATCAGAATGGGGCCTGAGAGGAGGAAGGGTTTCACAGGGAGAAGACCCAAAATAATAGGTGGATCTTCTGTAATATCTTCTTTCTTGTTATTTTGAGAAAAAAAAGAAAGAAGGAAAGAAAAAAAAAGAGGGACAGTGGAGGGACGGTCACTAGGAGGCATGGAGGGCCTGAAAGCTCCTCCCCTCATCCGAGAGGGCCTCGAGGCCACTGGCAGTGAAGATGCAGTGTGGAACCTGTGCCATACCCTACCCTTCACACCAGTAAACCAGTGCTCCTGGGTAGCAACCTCACATCCACCAAGCTACCTCCGTGGACAAAAGAAAGGATGGTCGGAAACCTGCCACAAAGCATACCTCCTTCGGCTGCCACCCCCTAGAACCAACAGGCAGCTTCCGGAGATACACCCATCATCCAAAGGGCACCCTGCCCACGACCTGGAAATCCAGGAAGGAAGCAAGGCATCCTCAGACAACTCAGATTCCACTGCAAACCACACCACCCCAGAGGGACCTCACAGAGGGGGACGAACCCCAGCATGCCACCCCCCACCTAGAAACCTTAATGCCAGAGGGGAGGACCCCAGAGGCTACAAATGAGAAGGGGAAAAAGGGGAGGGTTGGGAGAGGGGAGGGGAGGGAAGGGAAAAAAGGGGGGTTATGGGGAGGAAGGGATAGAAAAGGGAGGATCGGGGGGGGGTACGTAGACTCGGTCTAAGGAAGTAGACCAAAGGATTTGATTCCTGAGACCAAGCACCTCTTCGCCACGTCAAGGAGCCCCGCTCGAAGAGGAACACCAGACGAGCCTGGCCCATGGCCGGGCTCTGGGAATAGTAAAACTCTCGAAACTCATCAGTATTTCGTTATGTCCTTTCTAAACCTGAATTTGTCCAATTTGACCCCAATGGAAATAAGTCACTCTGTCTGACTTTTTTGGGTTATCCTAGGTTTTCTACACATATGCTGCTATGTATGATAATTCTATGTAACTGTATTTGTGTATACCTGAATAAACTTACTTACTTACTTACTTGCTGCAAGTCCTGTCTTGGTTCGATACTTTCAACACATTATTTATATCCTCTTTATTTATTCTAGTTTTCCACCTGCACATTTAAATATGTCCTCCCAACTCTGCATCTTTCTAAAAAGTTCAGATTCACTTCCGGCACAGCTGCTCGTAGCTTCGTAACAAAGTTCTGATACACTGAATCAACTTCGCCATCCTCGGTATGTTTTCCAGTTGAAGATTAAGACACATGTGCGACAGTTGGGTATCTTTACTGATGAAACATTTCGTCTACACAGTAGGCTTTTTCAGACATATACAAAGGCAGGAGTAGTAATGAAATAATGATTATGTAATCAGTCCATCAACCTTGGAGAAAAAGTATTTGAGACAATCAGTCCCTCAGCCTGGAGTCGGTGTGTTCAGTCCATCAGTCTTGAATCTCCCGCCAGCTGGCAGCTGCATTTGTGGTCACAGTGGTGGCCGATGCTAATCTTCCTATGGTGTATAAATATATAGATGGATGAATCTTGCTGTAGTCAACTGGCCCAGTGGCTTACGCACTGGCCTGGAGTTTTACTACTCACTCGCCATCAGTTCAAATCACACCCGTTCCGTGGGTTGTTTACAATCTTGTTATTAAAAATGTTTTTATATAAAATTTAGTTTTATGGAAACTCTGAAATGTAGAGGGAGGCGAAAAAGTATTTTTGGACGTGTCCATGGCGTTAGTTTCACGTAATGACAATTCTGTGACAAGCTGAACCATAGTTTCCAGCCACAATGACAATGTTGTGTGGGGTGCGCAGCGGCCCGCTGTGTCCACCTCCAGCCTCAACATTGTTAGTGCGCGGCCAGCGGTGACTGCGGCCGGACGTGCGAGGCTGGTGGTAGCTGCGGTCGGACGAATGGGGCTAACGGTGACTGCGATCGGACGTGTGGGGCCAACGGTGACTGAGATCGGACGTGTGAGGCCAACGGTGACTGCGATCGGACGTGTGGGGCCAACGGTGACTGTGGTTGGACATGTAGGGTCAGGGGTGACTGGCTGGACGTATAGGGCCAGGGGTGACTGGCTGGACGTATAGAGTCAGGGGTGACTGGCTGGACGTGTAGGGCCAGGGGTGACTGGCTGGACGTGTAGGGCCAGGGGTGACTGGCTGGACGTATAGGGCCAGGGGTGACTGGCTGGACGTATAGGGCCAGGGGTGACTGGCTGGACGTGTAGGGCCAGGGGTGACTGGCTGGACGTGTAGGGCCAGGGGTGACTGGCTGGACGTATAGGGTCAGGGGTGACTGGCTGGACGTATAGGGTCAGGGGTGACTGGCTGGACGTATAGGGTCAGGGGTGACTGGCTGGACGTATAGGGTCAGGAGTGACTGGCTGGACGTATAGGGTCATGGGTGACTGACTGGACATATAGGGCCAGGGGTGACTGGCTGGACGTGTAGGGTCAGGGGTTACTGGCTGGACGTGTAGGGTCAGGGGTAACTGGCTGGACGTATAGGGTCAGGGGTGACTGACTGGACGTATAGGGCCAGGGGTGACTTGACTGGACGTGTAGGGTCAGGGGTAACTGGCTGGACGTGTAGGGCCAGGGGTATCTGGTTGGACGTGTAGGGTCAAGGGTTACTGGCTGGACGTGTAGGCTCAGGGGTAACTGGTTGGACGTTTAGGGCCAGGGTTCCACTCACTGCATCATAACAACAGATACTTATCACCACTATAGCAAAGATTTCTCCCTGAGACTTAAATAATATTCTGTTCTTCCTACCACACCATCTTTTATAAAAACACAAACATCTGCACTGAATACTTGTAATCTGGTACACAAAGCTTCGACATAATCTGCCTAACTATGGACTCTACTTGCATTCAAGTGTCATCCATTTCTGTATAATCAATTTATCGTGTGGAATATACTTTGAATTTAAAGCATTCTAGTATTGCTGTAATTCAACTCTTACAGCTTAAATCATTTAAAAATTAAGTCTTGGTGGATTACCTTGCTGCTACCTCGGTCAGCAATATTTTTTTTTGTTTTTTCTCAACAAGTGGTGGCGTGATGAGCCTTGTCTGTTCAACAGTAAAACAGTTTTTCATACTATTCTTAGTCTGTAACGTCAGTAATAAGTTATAACAACTATCACACAACAGGGAAACAATACTGACTAGGGTCCCCTGACCAGTATTCCTTAGAGCGCAGGCGAGAAAGTTACATAATTTACACCTGAAAAATCCTAGACGGACTAGTTCCAAATCTGCACACAGAAATCACTCCCTACTAAAGCAAAAAACTAGGCAGACGGTGCATCCCCCCAATGAAAAGCAGGGGTTCCACGAGTACACTAAGACAACACAATAAGCATCATCCTCCAATCATACATAAAGGGGATTACATTTACCATTATACCACTGGCTGTCTTCAAGAGGGAGCTGGATAGATTACTGAAGTCAGTACCTGACTAGCCGGGCTGTAGTTTGTACGTTGGTCTGCGTGCGGCCAACAGTAAGAACCTAGTTAATGAGGCTCGGATTCACCTGGAGGCCTGGTCATGGACCGGGCCTCGGGAGCTTTGATCCTGGAACTCCCTCCAGGTAAACTGCAGGTGGAGTTCGGGTTCCTAAATTTCAAAGAATATTTTTTTCTTCGAGTATAATCAAGAATATGTGTGTGAAAAAATAACTTAAAACTAATAAGAAAATTATCTTATTTTAAGGTGTTGAAGTTTGATCAACTGTTATTAGTGCTCCCTGCTACCCCAGCATAGCTTACTTCATTGATTATATTTATTATTATTATTATTATTATTATTATTATTATTATTATTATTATGGGGAGCGGTAAACGGGTAGGGGTCATAAGAGTACCTGGGGGAAACAAGTCTAATTACCAGGTAATGAGATTCGATCCAAGGAAGGAGATAGAGATCAGGTACAATTTCTTTTATCAAGAGCCTCTCACCGGCATCAAGGAGCCTCTCTTGAAACGCTCTTGATCTAAGGAACTGGATCATTTCTTCCCTTTAGATGGAACCTGACGACACCCCACTCTCCAGAAACTTCCCCGTGAATATTATAATTATATATAAGATAATATTTCAGCCCACCTTCTTGCGTCAAGACTGAGGCAGTGAACACCCTATGCAAGGCTCAGGGACTGATTACCTCATCTTCAGTCTTCTATGTAGTCTTTCAGGGTTGGGGGACCGATTACCTTATCTTCCACTATGTTTTATGAATAGTTCTGTTGGCTGGCGAAACATCATTAAACTAAAGCTACACAGGTGAAGTGTTTTACATGTGTCTAGTTCATCAGTTGGTCGATAATAAATAACGTACGTACTGCAATGGTGGCTGGGCAGCAGCAGCGGCGGCAGCAGCAGCGGCAGCAGCAGCAGCGGCAGCAGCAGCGGCAGCAGCAGCAGCGGCAGCAGCAGCAGCGGCAGCAGCGGCAGCAGCGGCAGCAGCAGCACAGGAAGTGTGCACAGCAGGTTTAACCTCATAACTCTGATATTTAATCAACCACTTGGCAAGTGTGAGTGGTGGTCCAGACATGTTACAACCTTCCATAACACTGGCGGTCCAGACATGTTACAATCTTACACAACACTGTGTGGTGGTTCAGACATGTTACAATCTTACACAACACTGTGTGGTGGTTCAGACATGTTACAATCTTACACAACACTGTGTGGTGGTTCAGACATGTTACAATCTTACACAACACTGTGTGGTGGTTCAGACATGTTACAATCTTACACAACACTGTGTGGTGGT